TACCCCTCTTATTTGATTACTTTGCTTGAGGGCCTTTTTTTCCCCATTTGCTGTTTCTGTAGATAATCCTAAGCTAGCCAGCTCATTCCCTAAAGTACCTAGCAGTGCAGGGACAGTTGTTTTCCTCAGGCACTGCAAGGAACAGCTGGATTACCCAGCTCTGTTGTGCTGCTCTGCAACTGAAGGGCAGGGAAGAGATTGGGGCTTGCAAGGGAGAGGATGCTCCTGGCTGCGACTTCTGCCCTGTCAGACATGGCTAGACTGCTTTGCTCATGGCCACCCCCACTCTGCTTTGTTTGGGTGATCTCTTCTACCCAATTTTATCCCACTGTGTGCAGGGGAAGATGAATGTGTTCCCCGAGGCCAGGGCACTGAGACCCTCTGCTCCAGCCACTTGAGTTGCCCGATGTTTGACAGGTGCTGGACAACAATTCTTGACTGTAAGCTGAAGAACTGGATTCTCTCAATCATCCTGCCAAACATTAACCTGCTCTCTCAGGGCAAATGCACCACTGTGCAGAGTGCCAGGACAGCACATAGGCACCAATTAAATCTTTGGCAGGAGCATAAGCAGGACCCGTTACAGCAATTGCTGGCCTGCCTGCACTCTGCAGCGTTGGTGTGTTTCCCGCCACTGGCTCTCTGCAAACACAGGGGACTGGAGTTAATAGGTAACCACAACAGTGTATTCGGTGTGTCCTTTGCAAGGGTCATGTTTGGGAATTTCCTTGTCCTAGGATCTCAGGTGTATTTACTATGTGCAGTGTTCCTCACTGACAATTTAGGGGCCGCATACAGTATAGTCTTCAAATTGTCTTCAGCAACTAATTCCTTGACTTCTTTATTATTTATGTGCTAGCCACTCTATTTTTAGAAGACTAATAAAATGCTACAACAATAGTAATCCTAGAGATATTTCTATCTTGGATGCTGTAGAAGTGTCTGAACTCATATAAGGAACACTGAGTCCTCAGTGAAGGGTAGATATCTCATGGGCAGTTGCTTTCCTGTTTTCACACTCTGAGATGAAAGGCTTTGAGAGGAGATGACCTGGGAAGATGGTCTGATTTCCACTTGGCAGTAGGTAAGAGGAGAAAAGTGATTCAAGCTTGACCCAAGTGCTGGTGGGAACATGCCTCCTCATTAAAAGTTCCTCCTTGGCTGAGGTGAAGTGCCTGTTTCTTTTCCTCTGATTATACTGGAGGCGTCAGGGTCTAAGCCCACGTTTAGATGTCTAACTTTGAGATGTCTAAATTGTAGCACCCTTCCTGGATGGAATTTGCCAGGATCTTTGTGCAGGTCCTGGCCAAGGGCTGATCTCTCTGTTTCCCATTGTAGTCTGGAAATTAGTAGTAGTAGAGACTACTCTCTGGATGTAGCCTGCAGAGGATGATTTACTCATTGCTCCAAAATACTCCAAACTCTTGGGGACTCTTTTCTGTTGACCAGAAAGGTATTTTTGGCAGTCTTCTTCTGGCCAGGCTGAAGGTCTCCTTGTGAATCCTATCTCCCAGAGCTTGCAGACAACACATTCCCCACGGCTTATTCCTCCACTCACACTACAGGAGATAATTAGCGTGTGGCTAAGTCATATGTGCTGAGGGTCAGAAAAGACAATGCGGAGGATTTTCCCCTGGAGTAAAGAAATGTCATCAGAGTTGCACTGCAGTGAAATGATGGGATCTGTCAGTGACCCTGGCCCTTTCACTGAACAAACAGCCTGGGGCAATGCCTTCCTCCAGGAGAATGGCATCGTCTGGCATGGTCTGGCAGCCAGGCACCCTTGTGAATACACAAGGGTAGGGCTTTCCCAGGGGCTGGCACCCCCAGGAGGTATGATACCCAGAAGGGCAGAAAGAGACTAGGTACAAAACTCTTGTGCACAACAATTCCTTATATGCTAACACTTGGTATTCCTATAAAAACACACCTCAGCCCTCAAGTGAACAAAGTTCCTTAAGACAAATTTGAAAAAACAACTTCCTAGTCAGTTTTGTGGTATTTCAGTAGCACTCAGAGACAGTAAAATGCAACAGAGTTGGGCCCATTGTCTTTGTCTTTGCCAGACATAGATAAGCAAGGTCTAGTCTCTTTTACATCCTTCAGGTCAGTTCTTCTAGTGCGCAGGCAAGATCCATGTGAATTAAAAGGTACATGACTAGTGCAGTGAAATAAGGTATCTCTCTGTCTGTTTCAGTGCTTCCTGCAATAGGGAAATTCTCTTCTGTGCTCCTACATTAAAACTAATCTTCATCTGTACCCTTTATGTCTCTCCCCCAAGTCTGTTCCCTGATGTTATATAGTACAGTATAGAGACAAACAGTAGCTACACCATTGGTCTGGGGTATGAAAAAGGATCGTACAATCCAGGAGAATTTTCACAAACTGTGACGAGAAATAACAATAAGCTCTTAGGACGGTACAACAGTCTTGTACATGAAAACAAAATAATCCTCTGTTGGTTCACCTTGATGCTGATATGCTATAAATACCAACATTGCTTTTTATTCTACTCACATTCCTCTCCAGTTCCAGGTAAAAGACGAAATGTCTCTTATTCTGTTCTTGGAGATGAATCTGTCAAGTGTGCTCCCTTTCATTACCCTTTAGTGTCACTAATAACTTACTAATTTGTACCTTTTGGACTTAATCCCTTTTATCAGTAGAAGATCATGTACATAGGTGATATTCTAATGCTGTGGTGGATTTTTCCTTTTACTACACACAGTTAAACGTGCTCTGCATATGAGATTGCAATGCAGCCAATTATCATTAGAATATCTGTCCTCTGGCTGCTGAAAGCAGCATGTTCATTAATGCTTTCAGCTCTGCACTGGCAGATAGCCTCAGCATGCTGGTGTGTGAGGGTGGTGTTTGCTACAGGCCTTTGAGTCAAAGCCTCACTCTTCCAAGCTGCTTTTAACACGTGCTGCCTACCTTTTCACTCTGTGTTCCAGCAACAGCTACCAGCCTGTCATAGGGGTGGTTTGTAAAACCAGTGGTGTATTCTGACAATGAGACAGCTGAGAGAAAGTAATAGCTGTGTTGTGCTGGTGGCTGGCTTGCTGGAGTTGCATGCAGTAGTACCAGGAGTCCACCTCTCCCCTTTGCCAAGTGTTCCGACACCTGCCGCTGTGGAGGAAGTGGGAAATGTGGTCCTGGTCTGGGCCTTGCAGCCCTGCAGAGCCAGCCTCCTTCATCAGGTGCCCATTGGACCTCCCCAGCAAGACACAGAACCCAGCTACCGTTGGGCAGCAACAGGCCCCAAAGGCCCTTAAATGCTTTGCTGTCTTTTGGGTGCTGCTTGACTCCTAAGACATCACAGCAGCAAGGACCGCGATGCCCAGGACTGTCACAGATTGCTCTAAGAGACTTGAGAGACTTCGTAGAAGTGTGCAGCACCAGGAGTCAAGGCAGCTTTGCACCACTCTGAATCAACCTGCTTGTTTAGGCACCCATGTTGGAACATGTTGTTCCAAATAACTGGCTTTGAACAGTGGATTAGGGGAGACCTGGATTGGAGAGATTCAAGACATCTTTGCATACTGTTAACATTCATTTAAGAATTGCTCTGCGTGGGGCCTAAACTCATGCAATTGAACACTTGACTGCATCCTGTAAAACAGGGCCGTGCCTGTATCCTGGGAGCTGAACCAAGTTTTCTCCAAGTGCTTTTAATTTACTAATATAACTAGTGAGATGTTCATGCTGTGTCCTTGTGCCGTGCCTCCCAGTAGAACAGCATGTCAGGGTGTTAAAAGATGCCATTGTGCTTCTGTGAAGGGCTTACTATGGACAATGATTTGCACAGCCCAAAGAAAAGTCCTTCTCAGATGACATGTAACATTGAAAATATGTCCAAAGCTAATGATTATTTTCCACATAAAAGAAAATTAATTTGCCTTCAATGACATAGGCCACTGGGACCTCTTTCTAAAGCTGGCAGTGTTACCAAGTCTCTAAATAAAGTGACTGTATGACACAGACCTGAGGTAGAAGCTTGGGGTAGAACAGAGGGATGTTCTCATGAGAAGAGTACACAGGGTGGTTTTTGATAAGATGGCTAAAATGGAAGGGAATATAATAAAACAGAGGGCCTAGTGTGGGAGTCCCACTGTAGTCTCATGAGAGGTTTTCAGTGTCCGTTGAAGACTCCTACCCATCTCTGTTAAACTAGGCAACAAAAGGTTTCGCCTGTTAGTCAGAGGGACATCCTAGACTGAGACATCAGTCATAGCTGGTGGGAAAGAAAATGCTCATCTCCCCATAGCACCGCAGACCTCAGCTGCAGAGCTGCTCCCTCTCCCATGAAGCAAACAGCACAGGTTGCTTAGTGACACAGGCCATCATCACGTGCATTACCTTCTGCTCTTTCTAGGCACTTCTGGTTGATAAGATGCTTGTGTGGAGTTCAGCTCCACATGTCTCTGTATTTGGATGAGACAAAGTTCTTACCCTATTTGTTGGCCCAGATCAAGCTACAAGTTAGCTGTCTAGGTCAAACTACAGGGGTTTTATTTGCAGGCTGGCAAGGGATGAGTCTCCCCTGACTCCCTGGGTGTTTTGTGTTTGAGTGTGTGGCACTGCTGAACGCAGTCGGTGAAGCACCAGGCTCTGTGCTGAGCAAGGTGCAGAAATTCTGTTTTGTGGGCAGATCCCCTCAGTAAAGTGGCTTTTGTCTGTGTGCTGGGCTTCTGGGACTCTTGGGCTCAGCCCCTCACAAGACTTTCTGTGCAAATGAGAGACCAAATGTGCCAGAACAAACCTAAGAGCAGTAAGTCCAGCAGGAGATGTTCACTTAGGAAATCATGATAGTTTTCATTCCTGGGAATGGTTTCATCCTGACCAAGCTTGAGTGCCCATTCAGCTTGTGAGGCCAGGCATCCCAGCCTCTCAGGAAGGGGTGTCATACCAGGCAGCGTACCAGGGCCAGGAATGGTTATCAATTCATGAGAATGGTTAGCAATCGAGTAAGAAATGTCTGCTGTACTTTTCAACAGAAAGATTTCCAGACTGCAGTTCAACAAGGTGAAGCTGGAAGATGCTGGAGAGTACAGCTGCGAAGCGGAGAACGTTTTAGGGAAAGACAT